TTTCAAGGTCTTCCCACTGCTCACTATTATTACACTACCAAAACTCACTGGTTTTTTTTTTTGTTTTTTTGGTCTCTTTGAGACAGGGTCTCGCTATGCAGCTCAGGCTGGCCTTGAGCTCACTTTCAGTTCAGGCAACCATCCTCCCGCCTCAGCCTCCCGAGTGCGGGGATTACAGGCGTGCGCCACCACACCTGGCCACCGGATCATATTTCCTGTATGTGTATGTGTTCTCCCAAGGCTTCTGTTCCCTTTATAGTTTCTGTTTTTGGGGTTTTTCCCCATGTTTTTAGAAACTTTTCTTTCTGGAGAAACACTAGTTTTTAGCACCAGTTTATATATGTCAAAAAGAATTCAGACAGTGTTTTTTTTCTCCTTTAGCAGGTAAAAAACTTTACAGACCTTAGGTATTGACGGAGCATTCAAATAAAATCTTTAAATAAATCTTTGAAATAAATCTCCTGCTTCTTCAGGAGCTGGATATTTTTTAAAAAGTTTCTTCTAACTATTGTGTTCCAGTTAACATTTTATTCTCTTGTTAACATTGTACCTATTGTTTCTGTTCAACCAATTTCAGAACTTCAAGAAAAAGTTGAGTGGTTGGCTGTGTAATAGGGTAGTGCAGTGGAAGTCTCTTCTTCAAGGCTTGAAGGTGAATAAAATACCTGCAAATCATAAAAAGAAACAAAATACTTTAAAAACAGGTGTTTTCACGGTGGTTATGTCAGGACAGCCACAAGACTCAGTCAGCATTTCCAACCCCGAATTCCCCCATTTGTGACCTAGAAAATCTCGGCTATGCGTGCCTTTCAGCTCACTGAAAGACTCCGGCAAGGAGCTCTCCGGTTGCTCAGGCACTGCGGTGGGAACTTGAAAGTGCAAGCCACGGTGACTCCCAGGGCCAAGGCAGAGGAAACGGAAGGGTTTCCCTGAGGACCGCAGAGGAAGCACAGGAAGGGCTTGGGCGAGACACAGCCTTCCGCCATCCCCTTGGACGGCTTAAAAGAACGGTTCTGAACCTTGGGTACACATTTAGAATCACCTGGACAGCTGTTTTACTGTAGCCACCCCTAGAGGGAGGGAGTAAGGCCGGGAGAAGGAGGATGTAAGGGAAGGTTACAGAGGGTGCAAATGAGGGCTGGGGATTAGCTCAGCGGCACAGCGCCTGCCTGGCAAGTGCGAGGTTGTGAGTTCGATTCCCGGTACCGGAAAAAAACAAAACAAAAAAATAGAAGGTGCAAATGAAAAAATGCTATGCGTATGTATGAAGACATGCTTAAATTCACTTTTCTGTAAAATAGGCATTAACAGAAATGTATGTCTAAGAAAACGTCACAACCCAGCCTCCACCCCAGATAAAGTGAAACAGAATTTCTACGTGAGAAACCAGATCTGGGTATCAGGAAGGGTGACGCCAATGCAAAGTGAATTGAAAACTCACTAGTTTACAGCAAGGGTCACACACCTGGATGCGCACAAAAGTTAGAGAGGTAGAAGAGGAATAAGGAAAAGAGGGAAGCAGACGGTAGCAAACTAACAGCACGTGGTCCACTGCGATGAGCTCCGGCTAACTGCGGCATCTAGGGCTGGCACCATTTTTCCAGTCGCCCCGAGTTTTACATTTTCATGTTTTAAAGTTGGGTGGTGTCACACATGCTCCCGCATGGATGGCCCTCGAACACGCCATATTAGGTTTTTTTAAAAAAGCGAAACATAAAGGCCACATATCGGATGAGTCCATTTGGACAAGACGGTCAGAACAGGCAAATGCACCGGGACGGAAAGTGGACCACTGGCTGCCAGCGGCCGGGGGCGGGGAGGATACGCTGTGATAGCTCAGTGGGGCCTGGGTTTCTTCTGGGGTGATGAAAATATTCTGCAATTCGGTGGTAATGGTTGCAAAACATCGTGAAATGTATTAAGAGTCACAGAACTACACACTTTACAATGGTGGATTTCATGCTATGTGGACTTTTCCTTAATAAAAAGGAAAGAGAAGGAGGCAGAAGTGAGAGGGGTGGAAACTGGATTATTTGGACCAACTCAGAGCCAAACAAATGCCTTTTCTGGCAGCCAGAATGGGCCCTACTGTGTAATAACACATGGGGGGAAAACAGTCCACAAACAGCGCTGGAGTTTTTAAACCAAGCTAAGGCAATAATGTCTGTCTCCACATCCTTTTATGCCTGCGTCCAAACTAGCAACAAAGCTCCGCTAGCTGCACCCTTGTCATCTTAATGCAGACACAACCGGAGTTTTTATTTTTCCTTAACAGGTGTTAGCGCAGGCCGTACAGCTAAGTGCGCTGGTCTCTGCCAGCCGTAAACGGAAGCGAACCCCCGAGGTGCAGGAGAACTGATGAAAGCGATGCTGGCTACGCTTTTCTTACTCTTCTGTACTGAGGTTAAAAGAAGAGTAAATGAACAGCAACAAAAACCCTAATCACAGCGTTCATTAATCATTCCTCATTTATCCGCTGATTTTTTCCCCAGTGACTCCGCGGAATTCACAGTCTGTACATCTCCAGTCTCCTTCGGCAGGGTTTGTTACCACGCCTCACTCCCAGCTGGTTAAAGTCATGGCTACTTCTGCGAGAGGGGGCTGTCAGGAAGGCGAGGAGTGAGAAACAGTCCTCCAGAGAGGGTCTGACATTTCAGTGGCCTGAGAATACACTTCAGAGGGCAGTGGTTCTTACAACTCCCTCCACATCCTACCTTACTTTGGACCAAAGTGAAGTATCATTAAAAAGAGATAGAATTTTCCATCATCACCGGATCCTCTAAATACCGGGCAGTGTTGCAGCTTTGCGTGAAGATCAGAACCGAGTAGCTGACAGCCGGGCATGGTGGTGCACACCTGTAATCCCAGCACTCAGGAGGCTGAGGCAGGAGGATTGTTGCGAATTTGAGACCAGCCTGGGCTACAAAGGGAGCTCAAGGCCAGCCTGAACTGTATAGAGAGACCCTGTCTCAAAAAGACCAGAAAAAAACAAACAAACAAACAAACAAAAAAAGAACCGAGCAGCTGGGCTGCAGAGGAGGGGCAGCATGTTCACCCACCTGAATTCTTCACTGTGGTCACTCCTGATGTGCTCGGCCAGAGTCCTGCTGTACCGCAGGCAGCTCTTGAGGATGTAGAACTGCTGGTACAGCAGAACTGCCTGGCAGGGGCTTAGCAGCTGAGAGGGGGCCGAGAGCCCCTTCGCCACGCGTTTCACAATACCGGCCACAAACGTAACCTAGACAAGGACAATGCAGGTGCCTGTAAGCCGCACGCCGCCCGCAAGAGCCCGTTCATCCAGAGCCTCACCACCTTACGCCAATGCCCTGGTGCTGTTCCCCCTGAAATGGTACTCAGAGCACCAGACTGCATCAACTGGGGCCCAAGCTTTTAACTCTGTGAGTGCCTTGTAACCAGGAAAGACAAGCGGAGCTGAGTACATGCAGTGATCCTGACCGCGTCTTTGCTTGCAAAGGCCTTGCTGTTGGTTTCTGCCTGTGCTGTTTCAAACTCAGTTATCACAGAAGGTTTCAACGGGGTTCGTGATCCTTCTGCCACCCTTCCTCCAGACACGCACATGGTCAGAGGACGGCCTCACCCTCAATCCAGCGCCTTGGGGGAACCCGCTCTAGTGGTTTGTAAAGGAACTTTCCTACTTTTTAAGTCCTGAGGACCCCAGGTTTCACCCATCAGCTCATGGTGGCGCTTACAACCACGACGCAGATTAAGTAGGCGTCTTGCAAACTGCGCATACAAGCTCCCACCGCTGAGTGAAAAGCATGACCCTCCCCAAAGCGGGCCTGAGACTGGCTGGGGTCTGCACTGTTCAAAGAGCCAGGGCCGTGGGACTCCTCTCTGCGACAGCGGAGTTGGCTGTTCTACAGACACGTGCACCGCACCCCCCCGCCAGCTTTTCACAAACATACGTCACAGGGATCTGACGAGAGAATCCGAATTCCACAGAGCAGGCTGAACGTCACAGTGGACAAACAGCTCAAAGCAAGAAACTACGGCTGGTCCACAGCAGCACATTCACACACGGAAAGAGAACACGTCGCCACAGGTCAAGTCTTCCACTCACATGGAAATTTAGTTTGGATTACTTCCTTTTGAAGAGATTTTCAATTAAATATATGAATGGATGAAGGGAAAATAAATTTGTGGGGTGAGAAGAGATTAAGGGGTAAAGCTTTACTAGAATCAATTCAGCGGGTAATTTAGTGAGCATTTATTATGTGCCTCGCACAACAGATACATTTCCTACCCTCATGGCACTTGCAGGGTACTGAGAAAGACATTGTATCAGTCACAATAGGCTATATGCTGTGGTGACAACCTATGAAACAAACACGTTGCGTAAAACAGCAAAGGTTTAGTACCTGTTCGCCCTGTATGCCCCTCAGGGGTTACTGGGGCCTCTGCTCCTTCTGGGACCGTCAGCTGGTAGAGCAGTGACTGTGCCGGAGGAAGAGGATGCAGAGACGCACGCACCGGCTCCTAAGCTTCTTCCCCGAAGTGACAGTGCTGCGTGGGCTCACAGCTCTTTGATCAGATACAAAACAGAGACCCACCTAACTGCAGGGAGGACACGCAGTTCTACCACGCTCCCGGGAAGGAAGAGCCAGACGCTACGTGGCCACTAGTGGCCCCCACCGAGCAGCCGGCAGAGTACACCTACAAACTGTGACCATCACAAGTCTCCAGAAGGGAAGAAGAGGACACTCTGCTATGCACGATGCGCTCTGGGGAGGGGCATCTGACCTAGTGGAAGGACTCAGAACATCCTCTGCCTCCTACCCGGGCAGGGGCACTGAGGGCTGACGCACGAGTCGGCATTATTAGTTGGCAAGAAGGGAAAGGAAGGAAGCAGTCCCGACAGAGAGACGGCTAAGGATGGAGGGTTCCTCACAAAGTTCCTGGGTTAGAAGCCTCATCCCCAATACGGAAGAGTTAGGAGCTGACGCCTAACAAGCGCTGACTGGGTCACAAAGGCTGCGCCTGCATGGATGGATGAATCCAAGTGGATCCTGCTGGGGTGGCTTCAGAATCGCAAGGGAGAGTTGTTATAAAGGAGAGCTCGCCCCTACGCCCCACGTGTTTCTTCACCACTGTCCCACGGCCACGGCACAGCACAGCAAGAAGGCCCTCGCCAGAGGCGGCCGTTTCATCTTGCAATTCCCAGCCTCCTGCACCGTGAGCTAAAGAGGTATCGTTATAAGTCAGCCAGTCTCCGCAAGCAGCACCCTGTGACACATCATCAGCACGTCTGGTGCAACCTGAGCTTGCTACAGCAAGAAGTCGAAGCTCTTCAGCACTGTCCCTCTGTGAGACGGGCCCTTCCCCAGACTTAAACAGTGTAAAAAATTTAAAATGACCCAATCTGTGGCACTTTGTTATAGTAGCACACAACAGACCATTGGCAAAGTGATGGAGGAACTCTGGTGGGGGAAGAGAGACGCCTGAATGGCTAGGCGCGTGAGGGGCCAGGGGAACGCTGCAGGGCCGTGACGGCAGGGCTCTGAAGGGTGTATTGAGGAGCTGAGTCTCTGTTCAAAGAGAAAAGCACTGAGAGATTTAAAGCAAGAATTAACAATAAGATGTTTATTTGAAATACCTCCCTGTGGCTTAAATAGGTCAGGGAAACGGAACTTTCGGAGGGCAGTGTAGTGTCAAGGAGGGACAGAGCACAGGACACAGGATAGGGCCAAAGTGCACAGACGATCCCAAGTGTTACGTCCTCACTCAGCCTTTAAGGTAAGTATCTATCTTTTTTTTACTTACGTATAAACCCAACAGCAATATTTTGGGATTTTTTTTTCATACAGATCACATTTAGGATATTATTTTAATACCTTAAACATTCAGACTGCAAATGTAAAAACATTTTAAGTAATAAAATTATCAACTTTATAGCTTGCATCTGTTTTATAAACTTCACTACAGCATACTGAAAATTTGTTAATGAAACACAACAGGGGCCAGGGATGTAGCTCAGCGGTAGAGCAGCTGCCTGGCAAGCACGAGGTCCTGAGTTCAATTCCCGGTACCAAAACAAACAGAAAAACACAACAGCAGCTAGTTAATCAGGCTTCAGTAGTGATTTTGTTTCACTTCTAGGTACTTACTATGGGAGGACAACTTTGGAGAAAGGACATCATCCGGCTAATAGCAAATGTTACCGACCCCAAGCCAAGATTTCCCTAAAAACGTAAGGCAACAGACAAGTTGTGCTCAAGAAGTTTAAGTTGCATGTAAAAAAAGTTCATTCTTAAATACATTTTTATCTGATTAAGGAAATCTTTAAAATCAGTATTTATAAAATAAGCTAAATGAGCACTTAAGAGGAAAGGTAGTATTTAAATCACCCACTGCTGGGAACCATCTCTAGTACAAATATTTTTGGTGTACTGTTAATTGTAACATATATATAATCACATAAGACAGATAATAAAAAACATGTACCTGCTGAAAGACAAGAAGTATCTCATATACAAGCGCGGTCGCTTTATCTGTGTATTCCAGGATAAGCTTCTGTAACTAGAATTTCCAAAAATAATCACTATAATATCATAGGCTGAGCCAGAGAATAATATTTCCCTGGGTTCTCTTTAGATACTTATAAAAGAATTTTTATCAACTTAATTTATTTGTTCCACAAATGCGTATCAGACACTGTGGTGGGTATTGAGGATAGAAGGGAACAGCACCGACATGATTGTGCCCTCGTTGAATGTAAAATCTGTCTGAAAAACAGCTACCAATCAACAATCAGATAAACACAGGCACAATTGTAAACTGAACCCAAGGCTGTGGAAGAAAAGTATGGGGATTTATGACAGCTGTAAAGAGGATCGGTCTTTTCTTAGGCTTACGGAAGACTTCCTTGTGACCCGTCAGCCCTCCCCAGACCACTGCACTAATTCTTAGCAACCCTGACTATTTGAGTCACTGCTTAACACTCTAAACGACGGTGCACTGCAGACAGCGCATCCACACGCTGTAATGTTGCGCCCACGGGCAGCTCTGATATCTGTCCCTCTCAGAGTTTCTAAACTGGTGCAGGCGGATTGGCTCTGTTTTGCTTACTGTTTGGACTCTCGACCTAGCTGCTTGTTCATAATAGATGCTAGTAAATATTAACTGAGTAAGGGAAAGAATTTTCTACAACGAACTTCCAACTGTTTGTTTAAGGAGAACCAGTCATGCCCCATCCATTAAAAACGTGCTGTGTTGACCTGACTCACAATAAACTAATACTAAGTTGGTCTCTGCTCTCACTACATGGGCTTTCTAGGCGACCCGAGATTTCTGGTGCTTTAACTCAATTTTTAGAAAAAACTCAGGGGCTGGGGATTTAGCTCAGCAGCACGGCTCCTGCCTGGCAAGCGCAAGGTCGTGAGTTCAATTCCTGGTACCAGAAAAAACAAACAAACAAACAAACAAAAAAACAAAAGAAAAAACTCTGGCTGAGAGTTTGTGGTGCTCATATAGGTAGAGAGCTGGTAAACGAAAGCCCACAGGTTAATCCTAAATTTTCTAAGACGGTGCTGTTTTGGCTCTTATAATTACATGTATATTAATATTGCATATAAAGATAATAAGGTTTATATAATTGATAAAGTACACTATTTTTATTAACACATATACCTTAAAATGAGTAAGACAGATATAAACTGTACTGCTAGGGGCTGGGGATTTAGCTCAGAGGCAAAGCACCTGCCTGGCAAGCGCAAGGTCGTGAGTTCAGTTCCCGGTACCGGAAAAAAAACAAAACCAAAATAAAATAAAATAAAATAAACTGTACTGCTGATGTCTGATGGTATACTGAAAGGAACAGCTAATGCTTAAAACTTTTTATGTGCTGACCAATTTTGTGTGCTTGTATCTGGTAATCTGAGCAACTGATTTGAAGGTAACACTATGCAATGGAACCGCCATGGTGAATTCCTGCCATCTTGTCTAGTGAAAGTCTGTATCTTCTCTAAGGTTTTATCTAATAAGTATTTTCTTATTCTCTTTAATGGTTTCAACAGTCTTCTATTCTTACATCTGGTAACCTGAGCAATGTAGTGGAAGATAACAGTGTGTAATATAACAACCACTGTGAATTCCTATCATGCTGCTATTGTTCTTTTTTTTCTCATTTACTATTCTCTTTAAAATAAAAAAAATAGTTACCAAATAAGACAGATGTTATTATTCACAGAATAGTTAACTAAGATTTTAGGTTAATAACAAAATATCTGGTCTTTTACTGAAGCGTATTTCTGTTTTCTATATCATTATAGTCTACATTAAAGCAGCCACCACCCACATGTATTATATTCTTTCTACTCCCTAAATTTGCATCTTACCTCAGCATCAAGAGACATTTCAACTAAAGTTGAATCAGCCACCGAATGGATATCAAACCCAGGACAAGATTGTGGAATCTGAGGTTTGCTAATTAAAATTACCAGGAGATTAAATAGTGTTCCCCTGAAAGAATAAATAAAAGGCCATTAGCAAGTAAAGTCTGGAAAAGAAAAACAAAACTAAGCTTGCAGACATTTTTTGGCTGAACTTTTGGGTCCCTGGACATTCACATGAAAGTCTAGGAAAGAATATTTTTTTCTTTTTTCTTTTTTTTGGTACCAGGAATCAAACTCAGGACCTTGCATTTGCCAGGCAAGCACTTGTGCCACTGAGCTATATCCCCAGCCCATTGTTTTCTTTTGAAATAAGAAACTTAAACTAGGCATAGTAACACATAACTGTAATCCCAGGTACTAGGGAGGCTGAGGCAGGCGGATTACAAGTTTGAGCCGAGCCTGAGCAACTTGGTGAGAGTGTCTTTAAAAAAAAAATTTTTTTTTTAAAGGTGTAGATATAGCTCTGTGGATGGCCTTGGTTTCAATCCCAGTATTGGGGGGGGGGGGAAAGGAAAAAAAAGGAAATGAAAATGTAATTTCTTATTATAGCTTGAACTGTTTTAACGAATCTAGATTTAGGAAAAATTTTGATTACTTTGATTATAGCAATATTTTCCTAAGGACTTTTACTAATTCCAGGCATTGTTCTGATCAAAATAGATTCTGTGACCCAAGGAAGTAGGGGAAGTACTTGGTTGAATTAAGTTTATTGGATATTTTAACTACAGGACTTGTCAGAGACTTTAATATGCTAATATGCACTGTGTATCCTGGAAAAAGAAATTAAGTAGAATTTTTAAATTCACAAATAAAAATTGTATGCATCCCTGATGTACAAAAGGATATTTTGAAATGCATATGCATTCTTTTTTTTTTGGCTTTGGTTTTTTTCCAGTACCAGGAGTCGAACTCACGACTTTGTGCTTGCCAGGCAGGTGCTGTGCCGCTGAGCTAAGTCCCCAGCCCCCTACATATGCATTTCCCCCGCCCCCCGCCCAGTACCAGGAATCGAACTCACCACATCGCACTTGCCAGGCAGGTGCTGTGCCGCTGAGCTCAATCCCCAGTCCCTACATATGCATTCTTAAATGGTCGAACTGAGTTACTTCGCTTATGCATTAACTCACACACTTTTCTTTTTCTTCTAGTAAGAAAACTTTAAATCTATTCTTAACATTTTCTAGGTACACAATAATTGCTCTTAACTACGGGCCCCATGTCTCACAGAGGATCTCTTGATCTTAGTCTTCCTGCATCACTGAAGTACTGAGTACTTTGACCACACCCTCCACTTCCACCACCCAGCCCCAGCTCCTGGAAACTACCATTCTACTCTCTGTTGCTGAGATCAACTTCTTTATATTCCACATATAGGTGATACCGTTGGGCATTTACCTTTCTGTACCTGTCTTATTTACTATAGT